TAACATCTTCATCCAATTGCTGAAGCTGCTATCTTAATTGTCTTACTTTTCGCGATAAAATGGGGGAAATGGTTTAGAAATGATATTAAAATAAATGTTACAAGGCACTGCAATATTCTAAAAGTTCCTGACGAGTTTCAATTAAAAAGAGTTGATAAACGGGCATTTCTACGGTATACTGCGGCGTATTAGTTAATTGGAGACAAAGTCCGTTGAAATCACCGACGCACCGCGATGAATATTCTCGTAATAAATGACAAAATTTGTCATTGAGTACGCGGATTTACGAAAGCATTTATTTGATTATTACTAATTTGATTATAACTAATAATACATTCAATTTTTGATGATATGATTTGAAAATGCGAATTAAATGCATATGCTAACATGGTCATTATTTCAACATTAACTTTATTAGATATTCATTTGCACAGTCTGGGATTAATTTTCTATAGCTTTCGCGATAATAGAGAGAGATCGGAAATATCCATAAATCAATTGTATAATTCTGCCATTCGCTTTAAATCTAAACGTGCAGTAAGAGAAAAAGAAAATAGAAATACTTGGTACAATGAGACACGAAGGTTGCCGGGAAGAACACACATATGCTGTCGCGCTGTCGCAAAATCTCGGTCTTTCGCTCTCACTGCCGAGCGCTCTATCTTTTCATCGTGTCGCGTAAAATATAGGCAAAGAGACGACAATGAGAAGAAAACAGAGGAAGAGAGAGAGAGAGAATATGGTGTAAAAAGGGGCACGCGATGCAATGCGGACAATGCTGGAGATTCTCGGATTTCCGCGGAATGCGATGCGAAGCGCTCTTGCGGAATTTTCTGAGTTTGCGTGATATTTGCTCATTATTTTGTGTGTAGAATTAATTTATGACCGTAAAGGAGAGGAAATGCGCATCGACGAAACAAATTCTATTGCTTATCGACAATATTGTTACCTAACGAACGAAAATTGAGTTGCTCCGCGCGCCCATACCGAATAATCTACATTTATTTCAAAATTTCTGATACGCGTGAATTCGATGAAAAGGATGATTGATAATGATAATCGTAAATAATATTTAATTAGATGATAAAAATAGAGACTGTATAATATCATTACAATACAATTTTTATATTTACACGTTTTACACTTATAACAATTTTCATTCTTACGTAAAGAGATGTTCTAAAGGAAAAGTAATCTGACTACCGTTTATCCGAGACTTTCTGCACATTGAAAATTCCTTGCAAAGCATTTCGGGAACGACATCCTTAACGGTCTAAACAAGACCGACATTCAGTAGTGATTAATTTCTGTCTTTCACGGCGCACTTTGCACGCGATAATGGAGATTTTTGCAAAATTCTTTCTCTCTTGTTTTCCTTCCACTGCAAGCTTTCTCGCGCCCATTAGTCGGCCAGTTCTTTTGATATCTGTCAACGAAGACAGACAGATTCTTTTTGCTCATTCGATCAATTGATACTCCCTTGAATTAGGTGTTGTATGAAAGAGACAAAGTTTCGAAACTAATGAAGCGTCATTAACGTTGATTATTGATACTCGGGTTTCTTTAATTGTTTTTGCTATTTTATGCATTACATTGTTATATTATTCCGGTATATTTATTTTATCAAATGAAATTAATTATATCAAGTTGTTGAGTATTTCACAATAATAAAAGAAATTATTAGGACTGATGATGTAGCGATAATATGTTAGCTGTATTGAATTTTAAGTATATTAATTACTAATATATTATATTATATATTGATACGCAATTTTAGCACATATAATTATATGTATATATTGCCTACGGCTAGATAATTCATTCAAAATGATTTGAATAATCATAGATTAATAGAGAAAGCTTTGTAACTCAATATTTTAGATCAAATGTCAAAACTGTTAAAAGTAAATTAACCACAAATCTCACTACATACCATTGAATAGAATTAACTTTACCGAAATTATTTTCAAATTTAATAAGATTTTTTTCAACAATAAAAATGATAAATTATTTTTAGCAAATAAAAATATCTTTGGCTGTTTATATCTGACAAAATTTACAAGGATAATATAAAATATGCTCCGTTAGTTTTCTCCTATAAATGTGAGATATAAAAAGATATAAGTGAAAAACGTACAGCTGTTTACGACGAAGTATTATTTTGAAATATTACGGTTTCTACGAATCCCCACATTTTTCTTATACTCAAAGTTGTTTTCTTTATATAATGTGAAAACATTTCAAGCTTCTCGGCGACTGTACGTTGTAATCAAGCGATCGGTTAAAGTGGATGTTGCTCCACGCACAGACTTGCATTGCATAGACTTCGTTACACAACCGCCCTATATCGCCATCTCAAACTACTGTGTGAGAACTATTAGCATGATAGTTCTAATTACAAGCACAAAATCTCACGACAATCAATGAATTATCGTCGACGATTATAATGCATTGTCAAAATTAAGAATCTTCATCAGCTCGCCATTACGGTATTATCGCGCGGGACAGACCTACTGTTTAGGATTGATTATTACAGCACACCCGCGCTTCTCTCCCAAGTTATTCGACGCAATTACGAGAAATTTATCTCATCGTTCTCCATTTACGTCACGCCGCGAAAATTTACGTAACTCCTGGTGAAATTTGCGCATAAATAAGAGTCTGCGTTACCTATGTGTTTCTGGTGACTTGAGAGAATACTTTAAAGTGTTTTTTTTTTCCTTCTCTTTTCATTAGCACACTTGTCTTTTATTCACGACGGCAGTTGTAACAATATTAACTTTGTGAGAGTTGTCGGCCGCGGCGGAAGAAAAACTAGCGACTAGAAAAATAAAATAAAATTTACTTATTTAAAAAGAATACACGTTAAATCGGTAGCCTGTAACTTTCCAAATCCGTACACGCTTCAGGACTGTCGAGATTTATGGCTCGGGTATTTCACGTGACACAGCTATTGCGCTCGTGAAATCTGCAGATCGGGTATTCCCTCGTGTGATTAGTAGGACCGATCGAATACGTCGCGCGGCGTAATGAAGTGCCATATCGGCGACGGAAGACGTCGGAGTGGTTGCGGGGCAGCGAGCGAAGGATAATATCTGCGGCCGGAGTTCGAGCGCGGTCAGGCGCGTGATTAATTGCCCGAGTCTCTCGAAACGCTGACTAAAGACCCGTTCCGCATCCGCAAGTCTAGCTCGTCGACCGGCTCGCGAAATTAATAATTAATAACGAGCGGCGTACATGAAAGGTAGGCTTAAGGAGTTTCCCTTCGACACCACACCCTGTCGTCTATCTGCCATGCAATCCTGATCCCCCCCCCGAAGGCTCGTCATCCGTCACGATTACGTGTCAGCGATTTCTGCGGGGAATTATAATTTGATGCCTCGTTTCCCGTGATAAGAACTCGAAGCGATTTTTTTCATCAATCATTTTAGCAGCGATACACTAACGGCTAATTAGAACGTCATATTTGCTAGGATTTTTTCGATTATTGAGATATCGAAGATTTATTATTAATTGCATCATTGTTTTGTTATATGAAGAATTTTTTCCAAAATTAATAGATAGTTTATATGTAACGTCTGATTTTCTTGGTTTTTTTATTACTGAGATATTGAAAATTTATTAATCATTCAATATTACTTAACTTTAATAAAAAATGCTATAAGAACCAAAGTATCGGGGCGCAAAAATTGATACAAAATCAATACAGAATAATGCTACAGAATCATTTCAACTCAGTGTTTAGGCCTTTTGTAGTAAATTATATATATTGCGGTTCTTATAACCTTTTTTTTGTTATTATAAAATCACATATACGTCACACTATTGCTTAACTTTACAACTCATTTACTCAAAATTCCCAGAAGAGAGTTAAAAGATAATTGAATGGTGTGTGTCGAGGACTAATGTATAAAATTGTCACAAGCTCGCTGCAACGATTCACGGTTAAATCCGGCGACACCGATCGATACATATTTATTATTCATTAAAACGTGGCTCGAGCGATGTTTATCTTCGTGAAAAGCGATTAAGCGGATCTCGAAGCGGATATTAATAACTCAGATCACATTCGTCGTCACGTGCTTGGACTCCACTAATAATACTCATCTATTCTTATCAAAATGTATTGCAGCGAGTTTACGAGTTTTCGCGGCACTATCTCTGCTTAGTCAAATTATTCAAAACTGAACGTAAAATATTGCATTATTTGGATCACAGAATGGAATAATAGCGTGGATTTGTAGCAACATAGAGTGTCTACAACATTCTTACGGGATTTCGGGTCAATGCAATTCGTGAACAAATTAGGAGATAGACTCGGCACTTTGCTTCAGTGTGTGATAAAATTTTCAAAGTTTTTACACTACGCTGTGCACACATCGTACTTAAAATATATTATAATCAATAATAAATTGATTGGAAATAATCCAGTTTCACGTCAGACAAACATCGAGACATTTCGAGCTCTCTGTCATGCTGCAAACTCGTTTGCATACTTCCGTCATGCCTATGGCGGCTCTCAGATGCTATTTAAACTTGAAGTGACTTTGTGTTGAAGAGCTTTAAGCACGCTAATTGAAAACAACGAGCCACCAAAGCGACCACAGACGGGCTAACTATGGCTGGGGCGATTCGCATGGCCCACTTCTAGACGGATCAGAATAGTATGAGAACGGCAACGAAAATTTTGAGTATGCCGCGGCAAGCTACACGTGTGAAATGCGAAAAATAATTCCCGTAGCGTTTAAAAATAGCACCGTGTCGCGACGGATAAATTTGTTCGCGGTTATCTCGAGAAAAATTCGTCTCGTGAAATCACAATCGTATCGTGGAAAAGTGGAAACGCTCGTTCCGAGATCGCGATCTTATATTATTAAAGCAGATGATGTCCAAGGCATAGGCCGTTTCAACGAATACTCGGATAATAGTGGATCGCGTAGAAATACACTTTATGTATTACTTACTATACACTACTATAAAATATGTGGGAAAATTATCACCTGCATTTTAGCGTCGTAGCTGACAGTGGCGATAAAACATTTGACATTCAGAAACATCGTGACTGAAAATGAACACAAAGTAGGAACTTTCCTTTCAACTGTCGCAGCGTACGAACAAATTATAGATTGTATTAGAGCACCAACTGACGGACTCCACGGACTCGCAAACTTGTAAATGTATTCACTTGTACGAGAATCGCTAAGTAACCGCGTTCGGAAGTATCTCACTTTATGGAATCTCAACGTATTCAACTTCGACGTACGCTATAAAGCTGCGATACGAGAAACGGAGTAAAAATTTATTTAACCATCGAAATACATGATACTTGTACTTTGAATATCCATAACAGACTGAAATCCAGTCCCTCCAATAAGATGCTTCGGCGAATAGTGCAGTAAAAACAGTCGCTCTAAAACGCGATGCCCGGTTCGCGTAGCATTGGCCAACTGTCGCAGCTGCGACTGCATTGAAATTCTTTATGGTCGAGCACGCAGGAATCGATGCGAGTAGCATCATCCTGGCTTTTTTGCAAAACTTGACCGGACGGAAGGAGTCGCGTGGGTCCGACGAATTCATTACTGTTACATTTCCCGTTCATATTGCCACTTTTATCGGCTTAAAGCCACCCGGAAATGGCTGCTGCGGCGAGCTATGCTCTCGTGAGATTATATATCGCGAGAAGGTAATTTATAATATCCCACATAAACCGGCTTTAATGCATGCTCACACCATGATTAAATTTATGATGAAATAGTAATTTATATGCTTGCTTATTTATAATTCTATTAATTTGTGACGTTTGATCTTATTTTAACGATATATTACATATTTGCAAAATCGCTTCATTTATATCAGTGTCGCGCAATTTTATTACTAAGAGAGAAAATTTTATGTATCAATTTATATACCAATATTTATTAATATTTTTATTCACTTGTCACTGCCGTATTAATAACATGTCACCATTATTATTACTGATTCTGTTATGTTTATCAACGTTATTCGGCTTTTTACATTGTTTTGAAGAATGGCTTTTTACATTGTTTTATTTTCTATTATCATAATTTTCTTGCATCGAGAAAGAATTATAAAAGCTATTAAGATTCAATTTTAGCGGAACTTCACAATTTATGTTAAAACCATATTCACTAAAATTCGTCTTCAAATGTTTTTTTCTAGAATTCTATATTAGTCAAGAAATTTTATACAGTAATCACAACACACTACGTTATCTTATTATAAAATCATTTCTTCAGCGAGCATCCCGAAAGTGAAACTTACGTTCGTGGGAAGGACGGTGCACGATTTTCACGATGCAAATAGAAGAGCGTTCGTTTCATTCGTTCTTTATTTTTCGTTTTTTAGAGCGGAGCTTCTAGTGGCTTCGGGTTCGCGACTAAGTAAATACTCGTGCTCTGTCTCATTTTCCGTTCCCTCTCCCTACGTTCCCCTCTCCGCTGCAATTTCGGTCGCTTCGTTTCTTACGCTTATCCCGCTTCCCTCTTTTTCGTGTTCTCTCTCTCTCTCTCTCTTCTCTCCTTTCTTTCTCTAGATCTGTCTTTATTTCAGAAACACGAAAAGAACGGAAATTTGGAAAATGTCCAAATGGAAAAAAAATGAAGAGGAGCCAAATATACTTTTAAACGAGAATGTTAAATAAGAGCGTTTTGACTTAATATTTTTAATCGAAATTAGAATTTAAATTTTCGATCAAATGTGCAACCGATTCTTTGTGACTATAGTCATATTCGATAATATCTGGCAAAAAATCAACTATTGAATAACTTTGAGAAGCATCGGAAAGAAAGAGAGTAAAGAAGTGAGCCGAGCATTGCAGCAAAGAGTGCTTTAGAAAATACGATTGGTAGGAAAATAACCGAAGGCAATGTGCTTTTGTGGCGCGTCAAATTCATGATTCGCGATTCCGAGAAGGCCATTATACGTTTATTTCGCAATGCGCGGATTTTTAACTTGGATTTACAAGTGTCGTTTCATGCATGTTTAACGGCGAACATAACTACAAGTGATATTGGAAAAAATATACGCGACAGTAAATCCCATTGCTTTTCTTCATCAAAAATGCAGTGTCGTTTTTCTCATTTGTGTGGTACTTGTGTATCTTCCTGTTCTTTCTGTTCTCCGTTCAACGCCACAAAACTTAAAAGACGGAAGAGCGATAAAAAGGGTAATTTAACCCTTTCAATAGCATTCTAAAGGTTAACGTTTATTATCGAATGGCATCGATAAGCTTTGCAATTATCTTGTACGGAAGAGAGAATTAGCGACGATTTTACCGACACTTTTAATCGCTTTTGTCCGAGATTGTCAGGTCACATCCAGCCTCTCTTTCGAGTCTTGACCATTTCTCGAAATTCCAGAACGATAGAAATAAGAAGAAAGTCAAAATAAAACTTTGCAGGAAGACCGCAATGAGGATAATATAACTTACGGAAAAGTTAGTTTGTGAGCTGAAAATGAGAAGCCATAAATAATACTTTTCAGTTAAAAACAAACGTCGCGTGCATTAACCATATCACGTTAAAAAAAAGTGCTATTAAATCGGAATCTGTTTCATGATTTATCTCAAAAATACACTTTTCACATTATTCTTTTTATAATGATTTCCGCAACTAATGGATTTATTGCACAAAAAATCTTTGTATGGTGCAAAGTAACAAATTGTCTTTCTGCATAAATTTTGTAAAACTAATTGATTTTATGTTATCTTTGAATAATATCATGTTAAAGAAATCAAAAATTTATTTTCGAGTAAATCCGGTTGCGGAAAACAAGGTATTTTGAACTCCTGAGGAACTCGCGAGCGACTCTTCAAAATAGATGGGCGCGTGCAGTTGCCCGATGTTATTTCATTCTCGAAATTGACGCCGACATCAATCTTCCGCCGCAACACGTGTAACCGCGTCGGTATCACAGCTCAAATGACACGTGAAATCGAATTCTCTTGTAGATACGCGAATTGTCTCTCGTGGTCAAAAGTAATGAAATATTATTTGCAATATTATTTAGTCGAAAGCATGAGAAGTATTTCGAGATTTTTGTTTAAGCTTTTTTTCGCGCACATTCTAGTCTTTATAGATGAATCCTATGAGTAATCCGAGTTCCAAGCGTACTTTGAATGGCATTGCGCACTGAAGTGGTGGATTGATCGTGAAACGAAAGCATCGCATTCTCGAGGAGTGCGGATGACAATACTGAATGGCCCGCTCGTACCTTTCAAACGCGGAATAACGGTCAATCGTAGGACAATAAGGTCGCGTAAGATTAAAGATCGATGTCTCGACTCTCCGGCGCGATACACCACGAAATTACAATCTTCCAGGTGAGGCTTGTCGTTCCCATGGTAACCGAGCTTGCCTCAGCTCTCTCTCTCTCTTTCTCTCTCGCGTCAGGATCTACTTGCCGTGCGTTCTCGTCCATTTGGCCGCGTACTACCGGTAAAAAGTGTTCTCGCAAAATGAGTGTTTATTGTGATGTTTATGCGATACTGCTCGATTATGTGTAAAATACGTTTCACGCTCTCACTGCGAAGTATGAAACTCGCGCTATGAATAGTGTAGCGAGTGTCATACCGACGTTCATTTTATGTTACCGGCTTCGAATACGATTTTATGGTGCTGAGATCTTTATTGCCTATCGCAAACCGCTACCGCTACGTAACCATCGTTACGATTATCTGTATGACTCTGAGTAGTAACACCACTAGCTATTGGAGCCAGTCCAGCGTTAAACCAAATTAACTGATCGCCAGTTCGATAACGATCGTTGACTTTTCATCCCGACTAATGCGGCTAATTAGCTAATTCGATACGGAGATACGATGGCAGAAAGTGTTTGTGCCCTTAATGAGATTATTAGCATATTAATGCACTCCATCGGAAATTCACTCTCGGCTTAGTACGATGTAATGCAAAATTTTATGCGCGTAGAACAATGGACGCCGCGCATTTTTCCCGTTAATCGTCTGGCTGTTAATTAAAAATTGAAACAACTACACAGCAACCAAGAATTACCCGGCGCTATTCGTTCCGGCGAATATTAATTATTCTTAGAAACTAATGGAATCATATATTATCGAAACACGAAAACGCCACGCCCAATCCATCACAGCACAATATTACTCACAATACGGTATTTCGATATTCACTATTAGTCGAATATTAATCATTTTATCGTCAGACTATTAACTTTAACCGATGGTTCAAACTTGTCGATTGCCAATATGAATGATATATTATAATGATATATCGCCAAAAAGGAGAAGTTTAAAATTTTATCTGGCAGCGCTTTCCTTGTGGTTTTTGATTTTTCGAATAAAACTAAAAGTCTAGAACTTAACATTTAATAAAAATAAAATTTATTTTTCGAAAACACACATCAAAGAATATACTTCCGAGATATCTCGCAAAGTAATCGATTGCGATCCTCAAGCAGCAACTTTCCAGAATAACGCGAAAGTGCTGAGAGATGCGGAGCATATCGCGCGGGTACAGACGACATGTATCGAGGTAAAAAGTCCTCACGTCGCAACATCTTCCGATGTAGCATCCGATATAGACTAACTGCCGAGCGACGAATGTACTCTCGAGATAATTTCAAGACATCTCGAGGATCGGCTTTGCTCTTGCCACATGACGTCAGCTCTAATCCTCGCCTTCGAAGAGTGTCGTTCCGAAGTCGGATTTACCTTCCTTATCCCTTCTGTATTCCAAGAAGGAGCTCTCGAGATGTGCGTGCTCGAGAGAATCGATCGAGAAACAGCATCCTCTCTTTTTTTCTTCCCCTTTTTCTTCTCCTTGACATATTTAATTACTTATTGCAACATTCTGTCTAATCTTCAATTTGGGAACGATCTCACATGATCCCAGGAAAAACATTTTTTTTCTCCTGATTACGATCCTTTCTGCTGTATGTAGTCTGAATTTCTTTAAACGCTTCTCCATCGATTTCTTTCAATCCGAGTTTGAAAAAATCCGAGTTTTAGCATTTAATTTATTTTAACAAAACTCTCACTGAAGATATAAAATCAGCCATGGATAAGCGAATAATAATTATTTTTATTTCGTTTAATATTAGCAAGGTATTTCATTCGCAAGATATAATTCCTTTACTGATAAAATTGAAGAATTTGCATGTATCGCTTTCTGTATTTAAATGGTTTGATGATGGTGACGTCAGAACGCACGGAAATCTCGATATGCAAATGACGAAGATTGAACGGAATGAGAACCTAAGCCAATTGTGATGAAGGCTCGACTCCTGTAACCTTTACCTTATTCTTCTTCCTCCTCTTCTTCATCCCTTCACGTAAAATATTCAATTGCTCATCCTCTCCATTTCGTCGACCAAGCGTGAGTTCGAAATTCAGGCGAGCCCCTTCACGAAGTTTCACCCTTTTAGCCGAACTAAAAGCCATCTCTTTCTCCCGTTCTTCTTCGTGCTTCATTCCAAATGCCGAACATTTCGCACTCTTGACTTCACCAAGCCGACTTCCCTGATGCTTCAGGCCAGGCTGAATTTTTTCCAACTTCTACCCAAGTCGCTAACGACTCAAATTTGACATTCAGTATGCAAATGTCGTACAATTAAAATGTTTCAGTGAATAAACGCGCTCTGTCATATTTGTGGTGGCCGAAATTGAGGAGTGTAATTGACACATTTATTTATTATTAAATTCATTGAGAATTTATCGTATATTCTGCAATCTGCGAATTTTCCATTAATCGCACTTTAGTTCCAATATATTCATAATGTTTGATGAAAAATAATCTAACACTTAAATTTTTAACGGTGAATATTAATTACGCTATTGTCATGCACGTTATTGTCAAACCTCGCGGTAAATTTTGCATTTATGCTTATTGGGCAACCCGGCCACCGACCGATGTAAAACAATTATAGCACAACGTGAGCAGACATAACCACTCTGATTACGCGCGTGACCGCACCGGATATGCCGCCACACTAATTACATCGTAATATTCAGACGAATAATTTCGAAAAACTACTTGCGCCACCGTCGGCTTTGTGTATAAAATGCTAATTAAATGGTCGTTTCGCGCACAACGACAGTGTTAATTTCGAATATCATGTTAATTCTGTGTTTGATGAGCTGCAACTTTTGTCACGCGATTTATCGCATGCATTTTTAATAATTTCCGGGTACAAAATAACTTTTTTGCTTCTCTGAAGAAATTTCATTGTGTTAATTACCCGTAACGTCTGCGCGTACGTTTTGTTCTTTATATAACTCTGCCTATATAAATGCTAATGAAGACGCGTTTATTTTTTAACCGTTCCGTCTCGGACATATCTCCTAAATTTATGTTACTCGTGACAGTTAAAACGCAAATGATTACACATGATTTCTCT